GAAAGCTGAGAAAATTTGCTTTACTACGCTACATAGATGCATGTTACAGCAGCAAGCAAGCGCCATAACTTTGAATACGTTTAAGGTGTATTCTACGTATCTGGAGACGTCGAAGCGAAGCAGGGTAACTCTAAACAATAGGAACCCAAAACGAAACGACCTACGAACGCACAAATGACCTTCAGCAACCGATCAGGTGACTTTTTCCAGCAATAGGTTTTGGGGATGTATGACACCAGCCTCCAGAAAGGACATATTGTAGCGACCCCTAAGCGCAGGGCATCTGTATTATTGCCTATTATCTAGCGCCTAGTGATGCCTGGGACGACTAATGTCGTTTTTTTGAGCCTTCTGATTGGTCCTTGACAAGGCCATTTGTGCGTTCGTAGGTCGTTTCGTTTTGGGTTACTATTGTTTAGAGTTGCCCAACACAGATATTATATACTGGAAAGAAGAATTAACATCTGCTTAAAAGCTACTTATTTCAAGGTATCAGTAGTCTACACCTATGAAAAGCACAAAGTATCACTTCTTTAAATCAAGCACATGACTATTACTACTATTAAATTACGTAATAGCCCAATGTTCAATCTTTACCGCCTCATAATACGGCACCCAGCTATACAAAACATTTTCATGGGTAAGATTTAACAACCACATGACTATCTTTGCACAAGGTTTTCAAAATGAGACAAGAAAACTTAAAATAGTGAAGAAGAAATGCTAGCACAGTCCCCCTAATAAGCGCCTAGTCATCGCCTTCCTTGACAAGCAGGGTAATGTTAGCTGATATAAAGTCACGCTGGATAAAAAGCTAGCGGTGATCAAACCAAAACATGGATTCATCAGTCAATGAAATCCACAACAATTATTTTAAGCTAGCCACGTAGGAAGGTGTAGACTTCATAGCTGGTTGGGGTGTTCGGGACGGGAAAAACGAATAAAGGCTAGAGACAACTGATGGCGATATGGCTCAAAATAGTTCTCAATGGCTGGCGTATATGCATCCACTCCTTGTGACTTAGAATTTCTTCGTTATTACCACTCCTTTTGTCTCATATCTCTGTTTACTGTCTCTATTATGCATTTCTTCTACGTTTTTCTCTTGCTTTGTATGCCACAAATAGGCGGAGCGGCGACCTGAACTGCTGCACATCGATGCAAAGTTCTTTGTCGTATACAGACAGACAGACAGACAATATTAAGGAAATGAAATCAGTCGAAGTATTGAGGTTGTAGAAAATATTTTTGGGATGGTTACATGAAAACATGAGTGTCAAGGAGTCAAACGTTGGTTTTAACAAGATAAGGGAATGTAGATTGTCCGACAGATATAAGCACTGGAGACTATTGGCTGCATATGAAGATGTGACTTTCATTGGCTTAAACACCAGATTTTTATCCCCAGTTAGTCTCGTTTCATCTATTTCAGCATGAACCAAATGGGTCGCATTATTAGCTTTTAATATAAATGGTCACAGTAGTGTGGCTAGTGGTCTGGTAAATGTCAGATTTCTTGCTGGTAGTAGAGTTTTGATAAAAAGGTGACCAATGGCCTACAAAGTAAGATAAAGTAAGCAAACGGATAACGGAGGAATTACTACAAGTAGACAATTGACTGAATTTTCATATTCCTTGAAGAACTAGAGATAAAATATTGATTTTCATGAACAACTGATACTGTATCTGACTGATGTGAGGCATACTTAGAAGTAAGATGCAAATGTTACCTAACAGACCAGCCATGTACCGGGACATCAAATGTGACTGTTCCGATAACCTAACATAGAGGTTGCTTAATTCAAACCAAAATTTGGAGGTTGAGTTTAGAACCAGCAGATCCAAGGTATACTGTTAGCAACTCTCTTAACGAATATGGAATCGTTCCGTCCATCTCTACAACATTATTCAAGAAACGCATTCTTGAAACTCAGCATCACTGGTCAGGAATCTATGCTGCAACCATCAATGATTCCAGTGACGGCTTGTAGCTCCACGTTCGTGGTCAGACTACATGTCTATACTATACGGATTGCAAAGATATCTAGCTGAACTAAATGGAATCCCACAAGGAATATCTCAACTTCCTGACTGTACCCAGGCTTTCTGAGCTAGTGTCTTACTCGTCGAGCAATGTTAGCTGATATTAAATTAAGTTGAAGAAAAGTTAGGAGTAGTCTAACCGATAAGAAGACTCTAGAAGATCTGGATTTCACGCGCGCATGATTTATGTTTAAAATCATACACTCGAAAACCAACAAACTGGCAGAGAATACAGGACTCCAGGTGAACATAGAGAAGACAGAGATAACCAATCACCATCAACAGGAGAAATTTGAAAAAATGGTTACTTCCTTCACTTATCTAGGAAGAATCGGTGACACGGATGAAGAGGTCAAAACCAGCCAGAATCGATTAGGCAAGGTTCACTATCACTCTGAAATAAGTTTGGAAATCTTCTGCACTCGGTAGCATAAAGAACAGAATTCGGATTTTCAACACCAGTGTTGGTTAAATCAGTCAGTTCTTCTAATATGGGTCAGGAACTTGGCTCATACGTCACAAAATGCATTTAAAACATACTGCAGAATTTTGTCAACAGCTGTCTTCGCTGGTTCCATAACGAAGATCAAATGGCCAGAGAGAATTAGCAACAAGACACTGTAGGAACGAACCATCCAAGAACCCATTGTTCAACAAATATGTAGGAGAAAATGAAAATGGATTAGGCACACACATCACTAAGGAGACCGCTGAGCGACATCGCAAGCCAGGCTATGGCTGGAGTGGAACCCGTATGGGACACGATGAGTTGGGCGTATATCCGAGGGTGACATGGAAGAGATTCTGCGAGGAGAAGAAGAGAGACTATGGACAACAATGGGCCCAGTTAAAGAGGACAGCAAAAAAAGTATAAGAAAGTGGAGAGGTGCTGTTGAAGCCCTATTTTCTACTTGAAATCCGAAGGGAACAATAACAGAACATGATAATAAACTAAAACCTGGTAACAACCTATAGAATCTTTGACTGCTAGTGTGAGTCACATAAGAAGGTGTAGACTACCAAGTTGGGTTCCCCAGAGCGCTAAGAACCAATGGCTAGAAACTGTTGGTGATATGTTATTGTTTCTCCTGTAAACATCTATTCATTGTAATTCTTTTGAATCTCTAAATTCCCTACAACTTGAACTCCTACACATCAGTACAAATCTCTATGTTGAAAGTCATTCAGTCGGCAGTTAGTACTCAAAACAGAAATCTCTGATAAGTTTCTAACTGTGGTACAACAAACATGCCTTGGGCAGAAAGGAGATCTCATTACAATGTTTAAAATTTTAAATAATAATAAGGAAATGATCTATTTTCTCTATTCCTTCCCATCAGGGTGGAACATCTCAGAGTACATGGCATGACTACACTAACTCCTAGCTCAGAAATAGGGAGTGAAGTGGTTGATGGAGTGTGTTGACCGCTTCACTCATTTGGGAAGTTGCATCAACCAGTGCCAACGGGTTGATATCTGACGAGATCTCAGCCCGGATAGAGAAGGCTTGTTTCGCATATGCCAGTTAACACCGTCTCTGGCGTAGACGTGATATCCGGCTGGCTGTCGACCAAAGGGCGTGTGTACTGCTCGGCAGTCCGCTCCGTCCTCCTTTATGACCAGCTGTGAGAGTGGAGGATATGAAAAGGCTAGCTGCCTTTGATCATAGGTGCTTGCGTTCTATCTCCCGAGTGAAGTGGTATAGTAGGGTAAGCAATACTGAGGTTAGTCATCGGTCGAGTGCTAAGTAAGGAGGGGGGAGAAATCAATCGACGAGGCTGTGAAGTTACATCGACTGAAATGCTTAGGACATGTGTTCCACATGCCTGGTCATCGCCTGCCTTCTTTGACGGGCAATGTTAGCTGACATAAGGTCAGGCTGGAAAAGAGCTTGCGGCGATCAAACCAAAACATGGATTCATCAGTCAATGAAATCAACAACAGTTAGTCTAAGCCACGTAGGAAGGTGTAGACTTCCAGGTTGGGGTCCTCAGAACGGTAAGAACCAATGACATCTGTAGACGATGTATGATATGGCCCGAAATCGTTGTCAATAGCTGGAGTAGATGCATCCACTCCTTGTGACCTAAAATTTCTAATGAAACTGTACTGTTCTTCGTTATTACCATTCTTTTTGTCCCACACCTGTTTACTGTCTCCATTTTGCATTCCTTCTACGTTTATCTCTTGCTTTGTATGCTACAAGGAGGGAGTGTGGCGACTTGAAGTGCTGCGCATCGGTGCAAAGTTTTATTTCGAAAACAGATAGGTATCACAGGTGAGTTCAAAAGCCAAGCAGAAACCATATCGCAGTGGAGTACTGGAACTGGAACCTACAATAAATAATGTCAGAGCCTTCAATTAACACTCATTCAAGAAGGGTTTGGACAAGCACAGAAATTTACTAGAAAAGGATTAACACAGACTTCAAGCCGCTTATCTTCAATCAACAATTCTCAATCTGAATGTAATGAAGAAAATTCGTCAGGTGATTGATGACCAATAAGACTTGAAAGTATGATGTTGAAAGTGTATATGCGTTTGGTAGGTGACTATTTTTACTTCCTAGCTGGCCTGACCGAAAGCTGCTACCTTGACGTGGTGGTCAGGCTTGAACACCGCAATGACCCAACAAGCTATATTGGCTGGAACTTATGTTCCTGTAGGTCCTACCATGCCAGAAAGGTTGTTTGGATAGCGGTTAGACTAAAAGCCGTTACCCAACCCAATCCAATGACTCCAAATAAATCACAAAATATTATGCCGGATCGGTCGGGGCCTGGATTAACAACGACCGCGCTTCTTGCTGCCGTGTCACAGGGCAGAAGTGATAAATGTGCTACTGAGACACACCAAATGAAAAAACAAATTCCTAGCTGACCAAACCACAGGAGACAATTTCTCACCATTCATTAAATAGATAGAAAAATCGTCAATGACATAAATAATTGACTTACTAAGTTATATAAATCCTTAGTATTTAATTTCCCGTTCAAATGTTGAGAATCACAATGCTCTGTTTGTATACTATTCACAGGATTATATGATCGATGCAAAGATTCATGGTTATTATTACCAATATTATTATTATTATTATTAGCATTATTCTCCTCAGGTGTATTTACAATTGCACAAACACCATTTTCCAATTCACTCGAATTATACGTCCTTCGAATAGTGACCTTGAGTGAATGCAGATTTTGATCGGTACTTCCATTCATTTGAAATCGTGTTTCACGCTTACTACTACCACTACTACCCTTTTTACGTAATTTCCGTTGATTCATATATCTACCAGATTTGTTACTTGTTGTCGTCTTCTCCTGAGATGTGTTCATTAAACCAGTTGTTTGACTTGGATACTTCGACTTAAAATCTTGTCGTTGAACACGATTAGGATGTGAGAAACAATTGTTTGTAGTAGTGGATGAATGCATACGTGATAGTGCTGCTGCTGTTGAAGGGATTCTAGAGGCTTTTGAAGTACTTACAGCAGATGTACTGTTGTATAATCCATTAGCGGGGTGTACATCAGATTTTGTGGAATCACCAACTAGCATTGGTGGTGTTTCTGCACAATGTTTATCCATATATAAACCAGGTGAAAGCTCTGAGGTAGTAGTAGGACCACGATGTCGCATACTTCCAATCATAGAAGAAAGCTTTTTTTATATATGAAATATATATATATAGAGAATAATTATTGGTAATAATCCGGATGTGGAAATCAATTAACAACTTTTTTTTGAGCAAGATAAATGCTTAAGTAGTTATTGATTAAAAATTCCGTTTATAAGTATAAAATCCAACACCCATATCACAGGTATCTAAAGAAGTGGTGATCTTTCTTTATAAAACATTCCACAGATTATTGATCTGTAAAGAGTATATATATCCTAGGCAGATTGATGATCAATCTATCTCTAATGTCAATCCAATGAATACAAGCCGATAAACAAAAAACCCAGTAGTAAGTACTCCTGACCTTTTTTTGTAAGCCTGTCTATCATCTACCACGATTTCTATGTTTCTATGCTAATTTGATAGATAGAAAAAATAAGGAAGACTAACACATGAAGTTGGCCAATCAGAAATAAGGCAGAAATGATCAATACTCGATTTTGATTGGTTATCTTTGTATAATGGTTTACCTAGACTTTATAGTTACTTTACAAGGGTGGTGGTATTGTCCTAGTAGTGACGATGATTTAGTCTTGAAATAATGCACCTATGAGTCACCAACCACCTCATTGTTCTTTCAAATATGGCTCATGTTTAGTCATTCCATGCACTTCATAGTCGTTTCTTTCACATAAATCTGTTTAGGTTTACGCGAATTTTTTTTCAACGATTGTTCTTAAGTTCACAAATCTGTAGGATAGCAATTATAAAAATACATAAGTTAGGTTGCTCAGTTCACGTATTTTCGAAATAATTATACTTGCACTTGGGGTTTTAGGGTTATGTACTTCACTACAGGTTATTATTAATATTATTATTATTGTTCCCTTCGGTTCCTAGTGGAACATAGCGCTTCAACTGCACGTCTCCACTTGCGTCTGTCCTCCTCTGTACTTTTCACTTGCATCCATGTTAGTCCATGCTGTTTCAGCTCCTCTTCACACAATCTCCTCCATGTCACCCTTGCACTGACGTCCCACTCGCCACTTCCCTTTCGGGTTCCACTCGAGCGTTGGCCTGACGCGCGATGTCACCCAGCGGCCTCCTCAGCGAATGTCCAATCCATCTCCACTTTCTCCTGCATATTTGTTGGGCGATTGGTTCTTGTTTTGTTTGTTCCCATAGTTTCTTGTTGGTGATTCTTTCCGGCCATCTGATCTTCAGTATAGAGCGAAGACAGTTAGTTGTTGATTCTCGATTCTTGACTTGACATCCTCGTTCGTTCCTCTTGTAGTTGAGACAATGCTCCCTAGATAAGTGAATGAAGTAACCTCTTTCAAATCCCTCCCGTTGATGGTGATTGGTGCTGGCTGTTGCTGTTGTTGTTGTTGTTGTTGTTGGTTGGTTGGTTATTTTCATAACCTCCGTCTTGTCTATGTTCACCTGGAGTCCTCACTACAGGTTAAAAGTCTCAAATTTTAAATGTATAGTCCATATTATTGCTAAATAAAATAACGAATTTGTGTTGAGATGTTTTCGAATCACAGTCAGTTAAAACTGTCGTATCTGAAAAATTTCAAGCACTGAATCCCATCTGAAGTTAGAGCATGAGGTGCTGTTCCTCCATACATGCGGCTATTCACGTTTGATCTTCTTGAAGTTTCACTTGTGAATCAATTTGTGAATGCATAAATTGCTTCTACAAGACTGTTGTGTTGACGGTCGATAGTTTCGTAGTGTTTTATACAAGCAATACAGCTGAAAGAAACACTACCTAGATCCTGTGTGATGTATGAACCCTGATTGCGTCATGTGTGCTAGCAGCTGAAAAGTCTCAAACTAGAACGAAACAGCTGTCTAATATTCTATCTGATATTGGTTACTGTTGTAGTCAACATTTTAAAGTATCTTAATGCCTAGTCTGTATGAGATGTATTCAATTTCCGTGATATCCAACCGGCTATCGACTAAAGGGTGTGTGTACTGCTCAGCAATCCTCTCCGTCCTACTTTATGGCTGTCAGAGAGATATGGCCATTGGAAATAGAAGACATGAAAGAGTTGGATAGCTGTCTTAGATCATAGGTGTCTGCTCTCCATCTCTCTTGTTAGGTGGTATAATAGGGTGAGCAATATGGAGGTGAGGCGTCGGTAGAGTATTAGGTGAAGAGGAAAAATCAATCAACGAGGTTGTGAAGTTAAATCGATTAAGTGAGATGGTCAAGACATGTGTTAAGCCTGCATCCCTAGCCATCGGTCGCCTTCCTCGATAACGGGCAATGTTAGCTGACATAGGATGGATCAGGTTGGAAAAGAGATGCTACGTGCTGTCAGACGAAAACGTGGCTTCGTCAGTCAGTCAAATCCACAACAGTTAGTTTAAGTTAGCCAAGTAGGAAGGTGTAAACTTTATCGATGTTTGGGGTCCTCGGGATGGTAAGAACCAGTGAAGGCTTGAGACAACTGATGGCGATATAGCTGAAAATCATTGTCAATTGCTGGCGCAGATGCATCCAATCCTTGGGACTTATAATTTCCAGTAAAACTATATAATAATAATAATTTACTTTATTCCGAAAACAGCACTACTTATAATACAGAACGGGATTCTCAGTATTTGTCACAATATTGCATCTGATTTACTCAAAATATACATAAAATTAAAATAAAATTAATTGGAGGAAATTGTACACATTTACCACATAATTATTAGATATAATAATAATAATAATAATAATAATAATAATAAATAATAATAACAGTGAGTTTGTTTCAAAAGGTATTGTCGACTCACTTTGGAAACTTTAGCATGTTATAGATTATTGGGTCTAGTGTTCTGTTGATAGAGTATGGTGAGGGGAAATACAAAAATTACAGTCATAATACAGCTTAAAATTATGTCCACACTTATGAAAAAAAATAAACAAAACGAAAAAATTGAGAGGATCATAAATATAAGAAATACAATAACAATAAAGTATGATGCTTTAAGAGTGAAGGAAATGGTTTATTTAGTGGTGCTAAGAAGGTTAGTTAGTTCATTTCTGACCCTACTTTCATCACATAAAGTACGTGCTAAATATGGTATAGTGGAATTTTTATACTTAGACGTACGTGCATAAAGTCTTCTGAAAAGACTTCTTGTTTTACCTGAGGAGACACAAGGTTGGAACTGCGGGTAGACTGGGTGCTCAGAGTCTGACAAAATTCCTTTAGTGACTTTGTTGCATGACATCAAATGCCTATCATTGACAATGTCAACGATATGGCCCAATGGGATACCACTCGTTCTACTGACAGTCTTCAGAGTTCTACGAAGTATGACACAGTCTTTTAAGCAATCCAGGAAAGAATAAGGGTGAACAGTAAAGAAGAATAGGTAAAATACACGAGTTGATAAACTGTAAGAGGACTGGTTGGGTTATGCCTGAGTGCCTTAACTTCTTAATGTAAGAAGTCAAACGAAATATAAGTATCATCGATTTTGCAAGGGTCATAGGACACCAACAACAACTGTGAAAGAACTAATACCCCCCCTCACCTCCACACTCAAGTTCCAAACTGGCTTCCGTCAGTTTCACTACGGTCTAGGTAAATAACTTCCGTTACTCCCCCAGTGACCAGTCACTATAACCATTGCTGACCTACAGTAAGTCAGTCATCAGAACACGAACCATAGTGGAGATGTCTCTGAAGGTAGCACAAGATGGCACAAATTCTTCTCTAACAGAGGAAATCAGTTCCTTCAACGTTGCAAATACCTCTAACACTGATAAGTGTCAGCAAACACAAAAAAACCTAGAGCTGAGGTTTTCCAGTCTTTTGCCTCCAATCATTTAATATTGCAGTTTATAAGTTAGAGCGAAGCTATAAGTTACTGTGAGCGGTGTCCTTCTCATCACTCATAACTATGATGCAACTGTCACCACTGACACAGTTTAGTCTCTTTTTGGAAACTCCAGAGTCCAGATTTACCGGGCAGTTCGACTCTCATAAATACCATCCAGCTGTCGACTCGTTGAATTTTTCTTTCATTCAAACAAGACACATAGATCTACTAACTTTCCAATGGGGTTTTCACCCTGCAGGCTTATCCATCTTCGAAGTAAGCAGCCTTCTCTATTCTAAAGGAGAATATGTTCCTTTCGTTCCTCTATTCTTTGGAGTTTCAGGAGTAGTGGGGTTACCAAAGACAGAACTAATGTCCACTGGGTTCGAGCCTCGGTGGGAACATCACTGACTCACTGTGGAATGCTGGTGCATCCAGCTAGTTGACGAGTCCCAAATAGGACGAAATGCGCATGCTACATTCCATTGCTAGTCACCATCCGCCAATTAAGAACTAATGTTCATTTGGATTAAATATGATGTCACACACAATCATTATGGATGATGATATAACTAACTTACAAATAAATTGGCGTCGAAAGCTCTCTGCTCATGGTACCTATTGATAGAAGAACAGACGGCGGATCAGAGAGAATAAGCGACAAGCGTCACAGCCAACAACCTGTTACCCATCCAGCTAATATGCAGAAAGAACTGGAGATGGATTTGTTAAACACGTTATATGGATGATACACTCACTATTGGTAGTAATAGTAAGTCTATTGAAAACTTTATTTGTTACTCTATTTAATCATATTCATTCAAATATCCGAGTGACTTCCGAATTTGAATCGAATAACAAACTCGGTTTCCTGGATATTTCAGTGATCAGGAGAGACGATGGAACGATTAAGCGATCTATATTTCGTAAACAGATATCGAGTGGAGAACATCTTCATTTTACCAGTTTTGTTCCTATCCAGTATAAACGTTCCCTAGTGTGAGGTGTTTGTTTTCAAGGGCCCGAAAAATATACACGAGTGACACAGTGATGGATGAGTTTCGACATTCAGTTTTATTAGCTAATGGTTACCCGGAAAACTTTGTCTTGAAAAGACAGCTTCTGTACCAAAGAAAGCTATCTTTATTAACCTACTATTCAAGGGTGATCACACTATGTAGTTGACAGCTCAAAGACTTCGGTCAGCCATCAAGTGCACATTCTACGCCGTATCTCTTTCCCTCACACCTCGAATATTTTCTATCGCTGTTGTTATAGTTTCCTTTAATTCCTAGAGCAACATAGGGCTTCAGCCAAACGCCTCCATTGTGTTCGGTTCTCTGCTAGAGTCTTCACCTGGCCCCATGTCTGCCCAAATGCTTTCATCCCCTCTTCATATGACCTCCTCCAAGTCACCCTTGCACTGACGACCAACTCGCCGCCTCCCTTTCGGGTTCCAATCGAGTAATGACTTATCTAGTGATGTCACTTCATGGTTTCCTCAGAGTATGGCCAGCCAATCCACCTAACTCCA